TGACACTCTTTTGCCTAGTTTGTGACACGTAGAGTTTCAGTAGTTTGTGTTTCAAATACATGTTTATGCTAAAGGGAGTAAAAAGCAGCTGAAACCAGTGTCTCCAAACCCATAGTAGCACTGCTATAGCCATGTCAGTCTGAGCTTGCAAGTCAAGCCTCCTGTCATCCTGAGCTGCTTCCCTGGCACAAAGAAGAATGAATAACATTCTCAGGTAAAGAATGTACAGAGGAAGAGCAGCTTTTTATTAAGCCCAGTGATACAGCTGGAAAAGACAAGAGAAGCCTTCAGGCACCAAAGCCCCTCTTCCCATCTGAAATCTTCTCAGCTAAATACAGTCTGAGAACACTTGAATTTCACATGACAGTGTTAAATCAGTGAGCCCACCCAGGAGGAGAGGGCCACCAGGGCATGGGAGCAGAGGCATTAGGCACACTTTTGCTAAATTCCTAGCTGGAAGGTAATGATTGCAATTTGCTTCCCTTTTTTACCATTTTACCACTGTCTGTGTGTCTTTGTCATACCAGCAACTCATTCTAGTTAATCTTTAGGAGCCTTTTGAGTGCAATGCAGCAGTCACCTTCAATGCAAACTGTCCTGTTACCATCAGGAGGGATGCAGGACTGAGCTCCTTTCTGTCCCTAGCTGAAAGGCACCTTGTTTGGGCACCCTTTGATGAAGAGCAAAACATGGTAGCAAGATGCATCTTCCTACCCATGGCCTCACCATGGGAAGAAAGGTTGGCACAAGACTGAAATCAGCTCTCTCCCATTCAGTCTCCTTGGTCCTCCAGATGCTGGCAGCTTTAGTGTCCCCTCCTTCCTGACTGTCAGAGGAAATGAAAATCGAGTCCTTTTAGAGCAGCTTGAAATGTGGAGTTTCTTTCAGATGCTTGTGAGGGCATGATTGGTTTAAACCCAAAACATGCAGATTATTTTGAATGCAGAAGGCTGAATTTTCCTCTCTTCGGGGTTTATTTTTTACACAGATAGCTTATCTACATCTAGCTCTGCATATACTTTATGAAAACCCCTGCTCTGAAACTCACTCGTGGGAGGAGAAAATTTGGTCTCAGCAGCTGCTGCCATCAAACTCCCAGAGCCTGCAAAGCAGGACCCAACTCTGCAGCCCTGGCTTGTTCTTCTGAGGACAGAGGGAAGAGACCCACAGAGCAAAGACTATAGAGCCGGACCTCATTGTATAAAAAATACCCCACTGCACAAAGCTTAGGAGTAAAAGAAAAGGCTCTTCCAAGGCAACCCCTGCCACTGCCTCCCTCCCACCTCTGTGAGACTCCCCAGCTGCCACCACCCTCTCCTCCCTGGGAGCCAGGAGGGAAAGGGACATTATCATACAGATGAGCCCACCAGGAAATCCACTTTGTTTCCAGATTCCTATCTCCAGCCCTGCCACCTCAGGCTCTGAATGCAGAAGAGGATGAAAGGCCTAAAAGCAACAGAATGAAGCATTAAGTGAAAAATCCCACCCACTGGTTCCATTTACTTGGTAGCAGGTTTCAGCACACACACAAAAACCCCAGGGCCTGACAAGCAAGGGGAAAGTGTGCACGTCCATTGAGGAGGTGTTGGAGGCACCAATCTCACCCTGCTCCTGCTGTGCTGCTCCAGCTCAGCCCAGGTAACACATCGTGCCTCTGGTTTTAACCCCTGCTCTCACAGCCCAAGCTTTGAGCACCAGTTGGGTATTTCAGCTGTGTAAGAAAAGCAGGTCTTAGGTTTCAGGTAGTTATTACTACCCCCAATGGAACATGCTGCTGAATTACAGATGCTGACACAATCAGGAACACACAAAGCCTCCTGCTTCACAGGCCCTCTGAGGAACTGGAGAGAGGTCTGTCCTTCTGCACAGGGCACGAGTGCCCAGCCATCAAACTTACATCTATCTGGCTGCACATCACAGGCTGTGGCTCTGGCACTGGGAGCAAAGCTGAAGAAAACTCCTTGGTCTCAACATGAACTGGGAAAAACTCAAGGGAGTAGGGAAGGAGGGGAAAGACCAACCTATTCCCTTTCTCTAATGGCATTGAAAAAAATGTCCGTCCAATCCATCAGTCTTTGTTGAAATCAAGTGCTTAAAGACATTGAGTCATAGGACCACAGAATGGTTTGGTTTGGAAAGGACCTATAAAGATCATCTAGTCCACCCCCCCAGCCATGGGCAGGGACATGTTTCATTAGATCAGGTTGCTCAAGACCCATCCATCCAGGCAGTGGAGAGAGGTCCTCTGGAGCTGCCTGATTCTGTCTGCCAGCAGAACAGGGACCTTGGACAACCAGCTTACATGAGATACTTGACTCTGAGATTGCTCAAGTGAGCTGAAATCCTTCCCTGCCTTGAACTCCACATCTAAAGGTGTCAGCTGGAAGATCCAAAAGGTTTCAAAGAGGCTCCCCAGCAACTGATCCAAATCTTTCTCCAAAAGCTTCCTCAAAAGACACAGCCCCCACCATGTCTGCTGGCTGCCTAGCTGTGAAGAAGGCTTCAGTGGCTGACTTGGAGCATCCATATCTCCATGTACAGGCCGGGTTAGTCAGGTCTGCAAACAGATTTTCAGAGCTGCAGGGACAGATGGCTTGTCCTGGATACACCCTTTAAAGTTAATCCCAAGGATTCCTAATGCAGTTTCTATTTACAAACAGATATTGTTACAGAACCAGCAAACCCAAAAGAACTGGATTCACAATCCACTAAAATCCAAAGGAACTGGGCTTTTTTTTTTTTACTTTCTGCAGTCAATGAATCAAATCTGTGAGTGAATTACAGCTAGTGACACTGATTCTAGTAAAATACTTGTGGACTTCTTCAAAGTACTTTTTCCCCCTCTTCCTGCAGGGAGTTTGTGTCAAGTCTTTATTGAATTGCTAAAACTGTAACCTGTCCAACACAGTGTAAGGCAAGAGGAGATAAATGAAGCCTTTGCTGCACAACCAGAAAGCCACAGAAGAGAACACGGCTTCAAGTTCTGCACAAGAGTCACAAAACCCACCCAAACCACGTTGTTTCATTCCGGTGCATAACAAGTGCACGAAGCACCATCTTGCAAAATCTACCAAGGCTTTTTCCTGACCTCTTTCTCCCGCCAAAGATGACTTCTCCTTTGTCTGGCACACCCCCCAGAGCTTCCAGCTGCTGCTCACAGAGCTGCAGAAGGGGAGAAGGTGGTGTTGACCTTTCCCTGGGGAGCTTCACTTTTCAGGCTGCCCAGACAAGACCCCCTCACACTCTCAGGGGGTCCAACCCAGTCTCGAGGTGGGAGTGCACAAGTGGCCTCCTCACTTGAACAGAGGATGGTGGAGATAAATGGGCCTTTCAGTGAGGCTTTTCCACATCTCCAGGATTTGCTATTAAGGATGCACTGGTAGGACAAACTTCCTCTATGGGGCTCTGGCTCCCACCAGAAGAAACACCTTTTGAGGATGCTGAACTTGGCCTGAACAGAGTAAGTAAGAGTGCAGCTTTTCCTCAGCTGAAGACATCTCTGCAGGCACATGGACACAGCCAGGAAGGTCTCTGCATGCCCAGCATTGTGAGATAGGCTGGTTGTTGACCTTCCTTCGATGCTCCAACTTGCTCAGTGTCTCCTGTCAACAGGTTACAGAAGAGAAACGAGGCCCAGATGAAGGCCAGCAAGGGGAGGTGCAGGTGAAATAAACCCTGTGGGGGTGGTTGGGTGGGTGCCCTGGGCTCAGGCTGCCTGACCCCAGCAAGACCCTGCGTGTGACACTGGGGCAGATGCAGCCGTGGGGTGGAGATGCTGGGTGTGACATCCTGACTGGGACACCTCTATGGCCCTAGGGAGTCAGCCTGGCCATCTCAGGACAAGCCAGACCTCCAGTCCCCCTCCACCAAAGCCTAATGAATGAGCAAGCCTGGTAGTGTGGCCCAAAGCAGCCCTGGCTCTGATCCCACCCTCTGACCCGCCGGGGGGATCTCCCACAGGGTGATCTCACTCCTCAGCTTGCTCACAGCTTCACAAGTGGCAGAGAAAGGTCACACTCCATTACAACTTGACATGTGTTCTCTTGCAGCTCTTCCCCCTCGGGCCAGGAGCTGTAGCCCTGACTTGGGCAAAGGCCTGGCTGGCAATAATGAATGTAATTACCTTGTAAGCACCTTACTGGAAAACACTGGGATAGTTAATTATACAGGGATGCAATGCTAACTCATTTCCAGTCTTTAAAAATACAAATACAAATTCTTTCTCCTTTGGGCTTTTCAGAAGATTAGTTATTGCTGCAGTCTAACAGAATGTTTAAGTTTTTCAGCTGCTGCAACCAGCTGAAGGAGGAAGTTGCCAATGCAGATTTTAACATCACTGGCAGACCCTGTGCAGAACAGGGCCACATGACACACAGCTGGGCTCTTGGGTCCTCTGCAAGAATGAGATCTTTGGCTGTGGCCCTTTAAACATCCAAAACTGAGATGTATTTATTTTTTTTTTCAAAGGATGTTTTAGGATCCAAATGTGATTTTAGGGTTCTCAAATCAAAGAAACTCGCCCTCTGAATATCAAGATAAATTAGATCCCTGGAGATGGGTATCCAAAAACCTGGGATTTAAGTACCTTGTAGAGAAATCCTGGATAAGTTTTCTAAGTGAAATTGCCTCTGTCTTTCATTAAGGATCATAGGAAGCAGCACAGCAAACTCAAAAAGCATAGACTGAGTGTGTAGTCCAGCATTTTGAGCCCTCAAAAATGGAAATCTAGGCATTTCCAGACTCCCTCTGAGCAACTTCCCTGTAGTTGAAGAAGGAGCCTATGATTTCTGTGTTAAGTGTGTGCAAAAAAGCCCCGTTGCTTTCAGTTGGCAAATGGCAGAGCTCTCTGTGAATGAGCAAAGGCCACTAAAAGTGTTTTGTTTGCCTGGGTATTTCTTAAACGTTTCTGACACCAGCAGATATTCAGGGACCAGAAAAACAAAAGGCTTGACTCCTTTCTCACACCTCTGCAAAGGGAGTGGAGAGGATTTATTAAAATATTAAGCTGTCCAGAGATTTCCCTTCAGAGTAGCAGAGGGAAATTTTCTGGGAAAAGAGAAAAAAAAAACAAATAAGGCCTTATTGTTCAGTAAAATGATGGGGAGCAGGAAATGCAGTCAGGGGGCTTAGGGAACTTCTGCAGCAGAAGGGGAAGCTCCTGCTTCTGGCCCAGCCACATGCCCTGCTGCAGCAAACTGGGGCCTTCCTTCTGAGCACAGGGCAGCTCACTTACAGAAACGACTTTTAACTGAGTATTTTGCTTGGAAAAGCAGCCCTGTTGCCTGGGTGAAGGAGCACGGGGAGCCTGGGCCCAAGCTCACCCTGCACAAGGCTCAGCAAGGATGGGTTCTGAGCACACATTTCCACGGGGCTCCTGCACAGGAAAAACTAAGGAAGCAGCTCCCCCGGAGGAAAACAAAACCAGCAGAGCAGGCAGGTTATTTCAGCCAGCAGAGAAATTACCAACAGAAGCCTTCTGAGGCAGGGGGGAAGCCATGGCCTAGTTCAGGACAGTCTCCACGAACCACAACACTGCTCCCAAGTGTCAGCATAGAATCTTTTAATACTTTACATTAAAAAAAAAAAACCTGCATACACAGTTCATAGTTTTATGTAAACATCATATACATCTCAGTTTTTGCCACGTCAGTTTATTAAAAACGAAAACAGTCTCAGTACCACTGCTGAGGGAAGGAGGAGAAAAGTAAACAAACAGAAATGGATACATTTGTTCTCTGAACCAGAGAAACACAAAATTATTTTCACCTGGGTTGGCTACCCTGTGAAAATACATTTTAAATAAACCTAGATTCTTTAAACTGCCCTTTAGTACAAAAATCTGATGTACTCACTGCATAAAGAACAGTCTCTTCACTCATATTTTTTTTCCCCAAGGCAAAATAATACAGTGGTTTTAGTTTGTCTTGTGTTGAAATCAATTTGAAACAAGACCCAGATGAGGTTACTAGGAACATTTCCAATGCTACAGCGTTGTATGCAGATGACAAGTGCATTGAGTGTTTAATTTAAGAAAAAAAGACAACAAAAAAAATCCACCAAGTTGTGCAAAGTAATTTTTTTCGAAAATAAACCTTTTAAATAAACCCAAACCAAGGTACTTGCAGGAGACAACACTAAAGGAAGGAGCAGGCACCAAGATCATGATTTATGGCAAGACGGTTCCCTCTCCCCCTGGCTCACCCTGCCTGGCCTGTCAGGAGCAGGATGCCCAGCAAGGAGGACAGAGCAGCTTCAGCTTCACTTCCCAGCCCCTGTGGCTCCTGCAGCTGAAGTTACCAGCAGGCACCAGCCACTCCGGGCAGGCTCCTTTGCACAACACAAGCCCCAGCCGGGCACCCCCTCCCCACCTCACTCGAAACCAAGCACCCCATGGTTTGCACAAGACAGAAAAGGTAAGATATATACAGGCTCGGCCAGGGACGACCCTCCCGGTCTCAGCTGCAGGGAGAGGCAGCCCCTGTTTCCCCAGCCCGCCCTGGGGAGGCACAAGGCAGGGGGGGAGGCACAAACCCCCTCCTCAGCTCCCCCCGGGCACCGCACAGCCCGGGCTGGCGAAGGGGACGAGCCAGCTGCATCCTCTGCTTGCACAGTCCAGTCTCGGC